GATTGGATTCCCTATTAAGTAATTGTATTTTGTATGTGAGATTCAGAGTTCGAGTCTTGGACCCGCCTTGAGACACCTTAACCATGCAAAGAAAATTAAAGTTTTGTATCATGCAATTAGGCTTTATTTAGAAGTGCCATGCTAGGCTACAGTTGTAGGTTTTTTTGGTAATTTTCTTATCTAAAAATATTTATAAAAATGTTAATTAAAATTAACTATTTTTAATAAATTTACATTTGAAAACTCTGTTTTACAGCTTGGAAATAGCAAGAAACCACACTTCTATTTAATGATTAATATAATACAATTCAATACAGATTAAACTATATTACATTTTTTTGTTTACATTTTTAAATAATGTGTTGTGAGAAAAGGTGTTATGTGTAGTACACACAAATGATACTTTAGCCTCGTAGTTGAAACAACTCTCTAAAGGGGTAAGATAAATCAGTGAATTAGCCAAACTTTATAAATTACAGAGCCTACAGGCGGCTTTACATTATTAGATTGGTACAGTTACAGGCTTACAGCGGTAATATATACAACCTGAGGGGGCTGGTAACTGAGATAATGATACCTTTGATCCGTCTTCTGGCAACCAGCTGCTTCTGTTTTTGATAAACTAAGAAGGTTACAGAGGATTTAAACAACATTGCCTCTAAAATACTTCTGAAAGCAACCCTCTTCCCTACAGTATCTGTATATGACTTTGTATACTTCAATCAAGAGTTTCGGGTATCTACTGGCAAAATAATTATCAAAACCTTCTGGTACAGGCCCTACAAGTTCCTGAAACATTCATCCAGATAAATGACTATCAGCTATTAATAACAATAATATAGAAATCAACTAGTCCTAAAAATATGAACGGACAAATCTAACAGCTTGAGTAGTTGCACAAGAAAATCATTGAGCAAGCTCTCAGCTGTTGGCCAAAATAACAAGCTCTCAACTTCAACATCTACTTATCAACACAGATAATCTCAAACAAACTAAACATAGCATTGCATTATTATTGTCAAGAAAAGAAAATATAAGTGGCCAAATAAAATTTTCAAAGACAAAACATTGAAGGATGGGAATTAAGTTGATGCTTATTCTAAACAGTCAGGTTTGATTTTGTCTCCTGCATAAGAAACCGACAAGGCCTAGGCATGTGCTATGGGGAGAGGTAATCAAGCCAGCCTGGGTTATTTCATTGCTTCACCTTCATCCAGTAAACTTCTCATCCTTTCATTGCAAAGTCACAACACAATTTATTAATGAATGGAAGTTAGTTGATAGATTTCAAACCTGAATTTCTTTTGGAAGCTCTCTATAATGATTCAACTTGTTTCGCATAACTCGCAACAAGTCTCTGACACTGTCATACTTATAGCGGCGATAATGGCCAATGTTAGTGATGAATGCAGGCTCCATTTTCTCATCCCATTTTCCACCTAGAGCCAGTGGTGCAATACTCTCCAATCCTTTCAAGATCTGAGAACCAGCCTCCCTGTCTTCTAATTCGACCCTGTCACTGGTGTCTCGAAAAAATGACAGTCTTGTCTCAGGATTCCAGAACAGAGGATGGTGCAACACCTCCAACGCATTTGGCCTGATAATAACTCCAAACAAAGACATGAAAGTTTTAAAAGCTAACAAGTAGTCTATCTTAAGCTGGAAAACAATTAAACAAGTGTCTGGCAAGTTTGTTGTATGGAACAGATTACAAAGCAACAATTTTACCTCAAGTCAGGGTCAGGGTTTAATAAACAAGAAATTAAGTCCACTGCTTCAGGTATACAGTCCACTAAAAAGAGGTCCATGTGGCTCTTCACAATGTTGATATCACGTTCAAGACGATCACCAAATGGGTGCCTTCCCCCAGTAATAAAGAAAAAGAGGACGCAACCTAAACTGAACATATCAACTGCTCGTGTTTGGCGTCCATGAAGAAGCTGTTCAGGTGCTTGCCAACCGGAACTACCACAACCTGAAAAGGTCATCAAAAATCAGATATTTGCAACCAATAGCAGATAAAAGTCCTATTGAAATCAATAGAATAGGCAGTGCATAGCAATGTTGCCAGCAGCATTTCCACAGGACTACATGATTCTCCAATGGCCTAATCTTATTTTGATGAACTTAAAGTTCAAATGCAAGCCCTACAAAGAACAGACAAATAGATTGACAACCAACCAGATTTGGTGAAAACCAGGCATCTTATGGAATACTCAGTACATGAGAGTGCAAACTGGAACAGTATATAAATCAAGTAGTAAGATGGTGATGGACAAATTGTCTAGTAAATACTTGCCAGTGGCATGAAGATCCAAGGATGATTTATCCTGGAGAAGGCGTTTACTGATACCCATATCAGAAACCTTTGCACATAAGTACTTCTCCTTAATTATCAACACATTTTGAGGCTTTAGATCACGATGAATAATTCCCAATTCATGCAAATGTGCGAGCCCAGCAACCACATCCCTTTGTAACAGATAGAATATAGAAGATCAAGAAGATTAGTAAACTAAATCAACTTTTGGCACATAAATAAGGCCTCTAGAAGTAGAAAATTACTGGACAATTAGACCATGCTCAAGCATAAAAATGTAGTCCAATGCTGTCAATACTCAATTTAGAACAGGAAATAAACAAACTCTTCTTTTATATAATAGTTAACAGATCTAAGATGGATCTTCTTCTAGCAAGGAAATCGTTACAAGTGAAAATATACAACTGGAGTAGTTACATTCATAAATTCCCATAAACTGCTCCAGCACATGTTACAAGGAAAATAATAAATAAAAATTACTGCAGCCCAAATATTATGCAAAGCACAAGAAAATAGATCCTTTCACTTCTCTTGCTAATAAGCAGATTCTAAATAACATTAAACCTTATGCCTAACGAACAGTGATATTGGTTGCATAATGATTAAATTTTGAATCCTAAATGGTGTCCACAAATACTGAGTTTATCTGAGAGTTTGAACCAAAAATTGTCTGGTTAAGAATTGGAAAAAGGAATAGTATTCTTTGCAACATCAAGGTTGCAAAAATCTATTGAGCATAAAATGTTTTTTTTCATCTTCAAGAATGTAAACTAACCTCATTAATTTCAATAATAGAGGTGATGGATGGCCATTGTCTTTCCACAAAACAAGATCCTGCATGACACCTTTCACCAATTCTAAGTGAACTTTATACTCAGTCATAGCTCTTGAAGTTTGGTCTTTGGTGAAGGCTTGGCTCTGGGAGTCGTCTGAATAAATTTGGACAAGATCATCCATGCTACAAGAGCAACGCTCCAGAGCAAGATAAACAAAATCCAGATCATGCTCCACTCCGTACCATCTAACAATATTTGGATGTCGATCAGAGGCAATGAGGTTCTGTATTTCTTTAACAGCCACATCATGATGTGCTAGGACAAGGCGTTTCACAGCAACTGGTCGCCCTTCATAGAATCCCTCAAGTACAACTGTGCCATTACTTCCCTTAGCAATTTCTGTATTTGATATAACTAGCTTGCCAATTGTACGCCCATCACCGCTACCATCAACAAGTTTATTAAGATTTAACAACTGTTTCTTCTCACCCTCTATGGATGAAAATCCATCCTCGTTCCCCGATGAGATATGATTATCCTTTTTCTCACCAGAGCCACCACTCTTCCCTGATCTTCTGATTTTCTTCTTCTTGGAAGGAGTAACATTTAAACCAGAAGTACTGGGTTGACCTTTCAGTGCAGCTAGCTCTTTGGCCACAATAACATAGCGGTAGACAAGAAAGCCCATAATAATTATGATAAGCAAAGTAAAGAGTAATACTGCTGATCGTTCAGAAAATATGCTTAACACTCCATCATAAGGCATTCTAACAGTTGTCAACTCATTTGTCTCCACAGGAGGAATGTAGAGAACAGCTTCTTTATTGTCAGAAAAGCTTAATGAGTTATCAGAGTTGAGTAGTGAAGGAGGGAAAGGCCCTGAAGAAGCAGCTGGGAGCATCCCACGATCTCGTAACCCTTCAATATTGGCCTCAAGAGCAAGCTCACCAGAAACAGGCAATGGGAGCATTGGGTTGTCATGATTAGTGCTACTTATAGATTCTAAATTATCAAGCTCACGAATGACAACATTTTTTGTACGACATCCAAATGGCATGTCAAAATCACTTCCAATTTGACAACCAAGGTCATAGCTTGATTGCAAAGTAGCTGTAATGAAAGGAAAATCATAATCTTGGCAAAGTAATACAGCCCCAATTTCAGCCACTGTCATACTCCAGGAAATATTGTCGGAGTTTGAATGAAAAGACTGAATTGTGTAATCAGTCCTTGTGATGTGAATTTGCTGCCGAGAAGTATTTTCAGGGCCAGACTTTACCAGCTCCTTATTGAGGTTGTTATTATCATGCAAAGAATTGACCTTCTCATCACTCTGCAAAATAGATGGTGAATCTGGTGATCCATAAATGCGCAAAAGTTCTCCTGTAATGGCATCAACCACATAGACAGTAGTCCTCTTGGAACCAAGTATAATTTCTCCATTCTCTAACACCACTGGCAAGGGCTTGATAAATTCTTCAATAGTGGTTTGAAGCTTCTGCAGGTGTAAGAAGAAGTAATAAATAAGATAAATTGGGGCAATGGCAAAAATGATAACAGTGTCTTATAAGAACGGTAACAAACACACAAAAGGCCCTGGACCTCCTGGTACAAGAAATAACTTGATTGTACTTAACAAGATTATCAAGAAAGATAAAGCAGAAAATTTGACGCATTGATATCCAAAAGTTAAGTCAATCGTAATAGAAAACAACAGGCACTTATTGAGCTTATCTTAGCTCGAAATCTTGATCAACCCTTTTCATTCTTTTTGCAATTTGTGTCTCTACTTTCATTGATGCATATATGATCAATGTATAAGAAATTTAATGTTTAACTAGAAAGTGTATTTATGTTGGACCTCTATTTGGTTGCTTTGGCTTGACGTCTCAAATATGCAATTGCCTCTCAGATGTAAAAATTATAGCCTTACCATCGTGTTATTGGCAGAGGGATGCGCATACAACTGCCCATCCTTTCCATAGGACATGAAGAAACCGGTGATTCCTGGAGCTTGATACTCTTGGTAAATTGGTGATCCTGATGAGAAGGACCAGATTTCTCTCTGAGAAAGTCTCCTTCTTAAACAAATTGTTCCATCCAGCTTAGCAGAAATTTCTGTTTCCCGGTCACTGTTTCAAGGCATTGAATCAGATCCGACAACAAATTCCAGACCCCGATATTCAAAATTTCTAATAATCACCAATCATTTCAACATAATGAAAAGAGAACTCACGAATGCGACAAAAGCAATCTGCTTCCCGCTCGATCCACCCTCACGGAATCATGGATCCGCAAGTTGGAGAGCAGGACCGGCGTACTCTTGTCCTCCGGCGATTCGTCATCGGCGGCGCTCGATACGCCAGCGATTAACAGTAACAAGAAGCAGAAAACACGAATCAGAAGGCGTACCATCCGCATGTGGCCTGAAAACGGAGAAAAAACTGAGAGCCGTGTTTAACAAATCCGGTTTCTTAAAGGCAAAGGAGGAGGAGGAGGAGGAGGAGGAGGGGCGGCGGTGGGATTTAGCTGGAGGTTTTTGAACACCAAACGGCACGACGGGAAGATTCGTAGCTTCTTCGGGTCCTGCAATTTTAGGATCCCCGACCCCGAGACGTTACCCGGTTGTTTTACCTTCGACCAAAAACCGGGGGCCAACTCTATATTCCAAAATTGCCCTTAACCTTACCAGAATGGGTCGGAGCGGGTTCGGGTCTTTAATTTCTGCCCGCAGCCCATGTCCCTGAGCTCCTCCTTCTCCCTTTAACTAGGTTTTAACTGTAAAACCTCATCAAGGAAGAGCCTTTTAAGTTTTAACACTTCTGATTATCTCCGGCGAAAATCTTCACCGGAAAAGTGGTAAGGTCACTTTACTTGTACGGAACCGTAATCGGAATTCTCTCCCAATTCAGCTCTAAAGATGTTGCAAAGCAACACCTTTAGCCGGAAAACGAAAGGAGGCAGAATAAGGAAGGTATACTCTTAAACCCTAGTTTCTGAATCTTTTTCTTAATGGCTTCTGGCTAATGATCGTTCTCTGTTATTGAGAATAGGAAGTAAGGGAAGTGTATTTGAGAGACGATATATACTGTGGAGCTACAGCTTGCAAAATCTGTGATGCTTCCGGTGCTCGCCTGACTTCTTCCCCAATTATCATTCTGGATACTAATGTCGTCCTTCACCAGGTAAGTTTCTCAAGTTTTCAGACTTCAAGCAGAGTTTTTTTTTTTTTTTTTTTTGTGTGTATTTGATCGTGTGGGATCCTGATTCTGAGTTCCAAATGTGTTGTTGGAAGATTGATTTGCTTGAGAATCCGGCGATTGACAATGTAGTTCTGCTGTCAGTCGTCCTGAATGAGGTTAAGAACAAGAACATGGCTGTTTACAATCGAATTTTAGCTCTCTCCAAGAATTCTCTAAGGAAGTTCTACGTTTTCAGCAATCAATTCCACAAGTAAGTTATTTTTGTTAATTATCTAAAGATAACTGAAGTGTGCAATCAATTTTGTTTTTCGGTTTTTCATGATATTTTTTTCTGCATTGTGATGCTGCTGGTATTTGTATGATATTTTTGTTTTTTTGTTTTATCACCAGGGACACATTTGTCAAGCGCATGGATGGTGAAAGTCCAAATGATTTCAATGATAGAGGTTTGCTCTTATATGATAATTTACTTTTCTTACTTTATGATGCATTGTGTTTTCTACCGCCTGTTATGTTGCCACTTAGTTGGTCGCCATCTTGGTTGAGAGAAGATTTCTTTTTGCATGTATTTTTACTTTACAACTCTTAACAATGAGGAACTCTGGCACAGCGATTAGGGTGGCTAGTCATTGGTATCAGACACATCTAGGTGGTGCAACATCAATCTTACTTATAACAAATGACAGGGAAAACAAAAGGAAAGCTATTGAAGAGGGAATTTCTGCAGAGACAAGTATGTATGGTGCATATACGTCTGTCTGTGTCTTTATGTATATGCATAGTGCACTTTCTTTGGAACCTCAATCAGTTTGGTGATTAATAAATTGAGTTCTTGCTAATCACTAATCAACCATAACTGTTTATATGCAAATTGGTACTACCATTTGAGCCACCAACTTACCGACTGATGATCAACATGTATTCAGTTCAGTCATATGTGAAATCATTGGGTCAACCAGAGTTGCTTGACCTGCTTGTCAACCCTGCATCTGAATCTGAAGGTGTAGCCATGGAAGTAGTTGAAGATTTAAGGCCTTCAAAGATACAAGTTGTTTACCCAGAGGTATTGCAGCTGCTGCTGCTGAAGCTTGCCTCTTTTGTAATCCTATTTGTCCATGAAAAATTCGTTCTATAGCTTCTTTTTTTTTGTGTGTGTGTGTGTTTGTGCAGCATAAGCCCATGTCTGAGATCACTTCTGGTTTGCATCGTGGAATATACCACCAAGGAAAACTCCGTGTTAATCGTTATAATTCATTTGAAGCATATGTTGGAAGTGAAAGCATAGGTGATGAAATAATCATTTATGGGCGTAAAAACATGAATAGAGCTTTTGATGGTGATATAGTTGCCGTGGAACTTCTGCCTCAAGATCAGTGGCATGAGGAGAAGAATTTATCTATAGCAGATGAAGGTATGTGATTCTAAATGATTTCAGCATAATTTTTACCATTCTTTATTCTTTTGCTGAAGTGCAAAATATCAAAATTAGAGAACAATTTTTGCTCCTTCAGGAGAGGCTAGAAACATTTTTGCCTCTAATAATTTCTTTTTCAAAGTAAACTTCTTGTTTGGTTAAATTAATTACATGCTCTATTGGTTTCACAAGGATGTTGTTCAATTTTCTCATTATTGCAGATGATGAGGAAGAAGAGGATATTCGTTTAGCTCCAAGCAGTGCTGATGATGCTCCTAGAACTACAAATTTAGAAGTAGGTTCTGCCACCAATATGAATTCTACCCCATCTCATCCATCCGGCCGTGTTGTTGGTATTATAAAGCGGAACTGGCATTCGTAAGTGTTTTTCTTTATGTTCTTGCTATTAGCATTGTTTCCTTAAAACTTATTTTCCTTAAATATCTACAATAGCTAAGCATTCCAACACTCTTTTATGGCCAAAGAAACAATTAGTTTGAGTATTTTTGAGCCAAATATTTCTTTTTTTCTTTGAAATGTCATTTCACATCCAAACATCATTTTTAGCAACTTTGTGGATTTGATGTTGTTCAATGTTTTGATCAAATATGCATTGAATGCCTGTTGTCCAATTTATATTCTTGATCAAACATACTGACAGTGTGTTTTCATATTTTCACTGGTTACTGTTGCTGTTATTTCCGCTTATATTTTCATTTGCTTACAACTTAAATGATCTTGTGCAGTTATTGTGGGTCTTTGGAGCCAAAATCTAAGCCTGCTGGTACTGGAGGTTTTACATTTGTTTTATTTGTCTCCAAAGATCGTAGAATTCCTAAGATTCGGATTCAAACTCGACAACTTGAGAATCTTCTGGATAAGAGAATAATAGTGGCAGTTGATTCTTGGGACCGCCGATCTTCTTATCCTTCTGGCCATTATGTCCGTGTCATAGGAGAAATTGGTGATAGGGATACTGAGAGTGAGGTATGAAATAATGAATTCACTCCTCTTTCTGTCACATCTTGTTCTTGATGTGTCTGTGCATATTTTTCTGTGTCTCAAGGTAATTGCTATTGTGTTTGTTGATCGAAATGGCCCAAATAGGGTTGATCTGTTGTGTCACGTATGATGCAGGTGGTCTTGATAGAGAATGATATAGACTCAAGACCCTTTTCTGCCCAAGTTCTGTCATGCTTGCCGCCATTACCATGGTCTGTGTCTTCTGAAGACCTGGCCAATCCTATCAGGCTGGATCTACGGCATGTACGTGTTTTCAGTGTGGACCCTCCAGGTGTGTATTCTTCCTGGATGTTATCAAGTTATAGATCCAACTTATATTGAGATGATTATGCTTCTGGCTTATGCAGGTTGCAAGGACATTGATGATGCGTTACACTGTACAGCCCTTCCTGATGGAAACTATGAAGTTGGAGTTCGTATCCTTTAGTTATCTGACTGTTAGTTATGCTGAAATATCTTTGATAAGAAGAAATATTGCTGACAATATGAATGACTGAGGTTTAATTTCCAGAATTTGAGGATTAATTTTTGAATTATTTGGTTCTGTTGATAAAACCTGGTTTGTCGTGTTAAATATGAAATTTTGCCCTTCAACCATTTAAAAACTCTTTAGAAAATCAAATAAGCACAATTTGTATGTCAAGTTTCAACAAATATCTGTGGCTTAATAAATGTTTAAGATTTGACCAGAGCTATCTCATTGAGATTTTGAAGATTGATAATGTACAGGGTATAGGATACTTTGTAGTGCTCGTACCAACTTTATCCCTTTTCATTTTCTTAAGGAGAAATTATTTTCCACACTTCTCAGTGATGTTCACATTCTTTTCTTTTCAGTTTGACATGTTTATCTTGAAACTTCCTCTGACATTTCCTTGTCAACCTATATAATGTTTCTCTTACTATCTGTTTGTGAAGTTTTCTCTTTTCCATGAAGAGAAAAGATGTAAAAGTTAAATATGCTTACTGTTTAGTATGATTCTAAAATCTGCTACAGATGTGATGCTCTATGGAAATTGAGAAAGGATTCCAATTAACAGGGGTTTCTTCTATTAGAGCTAACATTGGCTTTGATTTGTTACATGCTCTTGTATGTTATGATTTTGAAATGAAGCTTTAGTATTTTTCCTTAACTCTACTCAATCAGATATTGCTGATGTTACAAATTTTGTTTATCCTGGCACACCACTTGATGATGAGGCTTCTCAAAGGGGCACGTCTGTCTACCTTGTTGAACGTAGAATTGACATGCTTCCTAAACCTCTGACAGAAGGTAATCATTTTCATTTTCTTTGGTGATTATGTTTTCTATTCAGGGATACACTAACTGTTTAAGAATACTTAATTGGATTTTGCAAGTCCATTTCATTGCTGATATACTAATAAGCATTTACTTGCAGATATATGTTCTCTTCGAGCTGATGTAGAAAGGCTAGCTTTCTCTGTTATATGGGTATGCGCAGCTAGACTTATTAATTCTGGAAAGGCAGCACACAGTTATGATTCCCATTTCATTTTTTTTAATTAAATATTATGTCTTAAAAGAAAGCTATTTGCCTATTTATTGTATCTATTAATAAGCCCCTCGTTTTATCCTTTTTGTACAATAGTAGCTTTCACTTTGCTTTTAGGTTGCAAAGTTGCACAAGCATTCATCTTAAGTTGACTAACCTTAATTTGAGCGTTCTATTCACCTGTAAAATTTACCTTTCTTATATAGAAAATGACGCCAGAAGCAGAGATTATCTCCTCAAAATTCACAAAAAGTATTATCAAATCATGTGCAGCATTGTCGTATGTTGAAGCCCAGGCAAGGATGGATGATAGGTGCTCTTATTCACCATTTTTATCTGATGGATAAAGAATTAATTTATATATATATGTATGTATATATATATATATATATATCTTGCGCACTCTGTGATTTGTGGCTGGTGCTTTGTATTTATTTTTCTAGCTGAGTTGCTTATTTTAACTGAGATTGAAACGTTATAATTGCTTTTGTGTTTTTGCAGTCGATTGATGGACCCATTAACCACTGATTTAAGAAATATGAATGCTTTGGCCAAGGTATCATATCTAACTGCTTGGTTTGTTCATAATCAGTAGATGGCATTCATAATAGGCTTAATTTTCTGTTTTCCATCTGGATTCCTCTAAGGAGTATATTGGTTTGTGTGAAACTGCAGATAATGAGGCAGAGGCGTATTGACAGAGGAGCTCTAACTCTTGCTTCTGCTGAAGTCAAATTTCAAATTGATACTGAGACTCATGATCCTCTTGATATTGGTATGTTGTCCTAATGTCAGTTTTCCCCCATTATGCTGGAAGAGAATAAAGAAACTTAAATCAAACTTTTAAAATTTCCAAAGTTCAGTTTGTAGTAAATGATCTAAATGGGAACATCACCTTGTTAACCCTTTCAAACTGTAATACACTCCAATACTCCATGTGTTTTCTCCTCTTTTCTTTTTCCAAAGTGGTTGCAACTTTTATCCAATTATTCCCTTGTGTTTTTGTTATTTATTTGTCTAAGGGGATATTTTAGGTTGGGGGAAAAAGGTCAGAGGCTTGGGCCGGGGTTCATTTTTAATCATTTGTGACTTGAAGCAATTTCGTGTGTCATTAACAATGATGGAATGATTTTTCAAATTCTGCAGTTCAGACAGATGATATGTTTTTGTTTTGCACTGTACTGTTATTTTAAATTGATTTTTGAGTTGCATATGCAGGCATGTACCAGATACGAGAAGCAAACCAAATGGTTGAGGAGTTTATGCTTGCAGCTAATGTTTCAGTTGCCAAACAGATTCGTGATTATTTTCCATCATGTTCACTTTTAAGGTAGCTGGTGGTTTTCCTGGCATTTTTTAGATGCCCACTTATCTTCATGGACCTTGGTTGCTTGTGGGCTGTACATATAATTTGCATCCTTGGATGTTTGTTTGTAAATGTACATCAGTAGAATGTTATTTTATTTGTCTCAACAAGTAAAGCATTTTTCATATTGTTATCTTTATTATGAAGCATTCGGTTAGTATGAGGTTAGAGGATTAAAATAGCACATAATGTTGTATGTTGTGACTACTGAGTGGAATACATCATGTTAGCTTTCCTACACCCAATATATGATTCTAAAGTTAAATGACTGGCATCAAAATTGATTTGGCATTAATAAGAAGCAATATTTTTAGATAAGATGAGTGTCTCTGGAGAATGTGACTGTAGCAGGATAGTGAAACAGCTATTTTTTGACATTTTAAGTATTTAACCATGTCCTCTGGACATTTTCTTGTACAGACGCCATCCTACTCCAACCAGAGAGATGCTTGAACCTTTGTTGCGCACAGCTGCTGCTATTGGACTCAGCTTGGATGTTTCGTCATCAAAAGCATTGGCAGATTCACTTGACCATGCTGTGGTAAGGTTCCTTATCGTTGCATATTTGTCTGCTTGTCTAGATAAGCAATTAGATATTCAGTTATGCCATAAGTGTTGGCTTATCCAGCCTTGAATTTCTTCTGACAGATTATTACAATTTTGTTTGAGCTACATCCATGAATTGGTTTTTCTCACAACCATGCAGTTCTATCTTAGTTCCTCATGTGCAAAGTTTGATTTCTTAATTGACATGTTTTTCAGGGTGATGATCCATACTTCAATAAGCTAATTAGGATCTTGGCAACTAGGTGCATGACACAGGTAATTTAGCTGGGAAAATTCAGTGAATCTCCAGATAGTTTTGATGACCATAAGTGTAATACTTTGCCTTGGATTTCAAACCAGGCGGTTTATTTCTGTAGTGGAGATCTCAGTCCTCCAGAATATCATCATTATGGGCTTGCAGCCCCTCTATATACACATTTCACTTCTCCTATCAGGAGATATGCTGGTTAGTGATTGGAAAATGTTTGGTCCTTTTCTTCTTTCCATCCCATATACACAGTATAGTAGATGGCATTCTATAAATTGAGTTGGGCACTCACTTTTATTTCCTTGCAGATGTTATCGTACATAGGTTGCTTTCTGCATCTCTTGAAATAGACAAGCTTCCAACAATATTCCAGGACAGAGCCCAACTCACTAGTATTGCTGACAGTAAGTAAAATATTTCTGTCTGCATTGATTCTCAAATGTTCTCTATATTAATCAAATGGCTTCATGCGGTATACCTGGACATGATAGCTATTCAAGTTTTATAACCAGTGCATACGTAACTGAGTTCACATGATTGAAAATCAGCAATTACCCTTTAGAAAGGGAGCTAAAAGTCTGTATTATAATTTCCAGATTTGAATTATCGGCATAGGAATGCCCAGATGGCTGGCCGGGCCTCAGTAGAGCTCCATACTCTTATTTACTTCAGAAACCGGTATGTACCTTAACCTATTTCGGTCTCACTCTAACATATAAAGATGTAGAGGGATGTTCTTATTTGCCTTCTTTTCTTTCTTTTTCCTACAGGCCTACTGATGCAGAGGCCAGAATAGTGAAGATAAGGTCCAATGGTTTTATTGTCTTCGTGCCAAAGTATGTCCTCAGTCAGACTTTTGTTAGATTGATTTCTCTTCTCTCTCTCCTCATTTCCCCAGAATCTGAGGTTGCTTGTCTCTTCTCATGGATCTAAATTGGAATTAATTTCTTAACAGGTATGGTATTGAAGGACCTGTATACCTAACATCAAAAGGCGAAAAGGGAGGTGGAGAATGGTTTGTGGATGAGGAGAAGCAGAAGATTGTCAAGATGGACAATACCATTTCTTACAGCATTCTGCAACCAGTTAGGATCCACATGGAGGTTGTGGAGCCTCAACCCAACCGGCCAAAACTTCAGCTTACTCTTATTATCTAGCAGGTCAGCAACACCATCTTAGAGAAGATAGTAACCTAATACTAGGAATGTCATGTGGAGTGTATGCATCCAAATATTGTAACAATTGTTTTCTTGTGCCACATTCAGTGTTTAGAATTGCAACAGGAAGCTTCATATATTTTTTTATTATTAAAGTTCTAGAATTTTGCTGTCTTTGATATTTTGAGAACCATACTTGTCTAAGCCAGCTTATTAACCATTGAACATTGTCTTCGCTAAATGCCAAAAGTGAGGAAAGTCACCATGTTAGCATTTACACCGTAATGGACTTTATATATGGTTTGGATGCACTCTCAACCTGTCCCCACCTGTCTGAAAATATTCAAGTACTCTTATTTTAGAATCTCGAGTTTTTAATTGCTTAAGAAATCCTTTTGGATGGTAAGACCAACTAAGCATCGAATATGAGTATATTTTATATCATCAGGTTAGATGATTTGTTTGGTTAGATGTTTTATTTGTTTGTAAAAAGAGATTATTAAATATCAAATATTAAAAATGTGTACTTGTCATATATCAAGTCAAATACTGTAATATATCAAATCAATTATTATTATTTTTTTAATTTTGGTTGCATTGTATGAGACAATCATCTTATCATATTCTACCTGCATATTACACAATTTAAATTTTGAACCTCTTATTACTTAGGTCGTTGGTATCAAATCAGCTATTGAGTATAAGAGTTCATACTTAATACACCTACCTAACTTGACTTAATTATATTTAAATATATATATATATAAACCTAATCCATATAAATGTTTTGTATTCTTGAATTGTTATATATAATTTATAAGTTAACTAATAACTAAAATCACTAAAGTACCAACCATGCTTATATACCTGTAAAGTACTGCCCTTCCTAAGAAATGAGCCATTACAAAAAAAACATAACAAATAAATAAAAGTTGACACATAAAATAAAGCGTTACATTTCTAATTACTAACTTTTGTGTTTGTGTTTCAACTTAATTATTTTGTCATTAGTATGAACTTATGTATTTCTTGATATCTATGTACTGTATATGAACTAAAGTATTTATTTATGAATATGTGTTATGTATAAACTAATTTATATATTTTGTAATAAATTTAATTATGTTTTTAATTTATATCAAAAGTTATAATATTCAATATATATATCTATAAGAATCCATGTACCTAGTGAGTTGAACAACGGGTAAAAAATTTTATCATTTTAATAAATATTAAATATCAAAATTTTGTATGTCAAATTTTTTTTTGACAATAAGAATTGATTAAAAATAGTGTTAGTATCTGTCATTGAAAAGACTTAAACCGCTGAAAGGGTGCAAACCACCGCTGTCAAGTGCAGCGTGGCCACTTGGACCACATGGGGTCTGCATCAATTTTTAAATTAAGTACAAGGATGGGTTCGGTATGAATAAATGCTTGCCTCGTACATGTACTTACCCGCTACTCATGGGAGCAAAAAATCGACAAAATCTGAATGCCAGGGCTCACATCTTCATATCATTACATTAAAATGCAGCTATAGGCTACATATGACTACTCCTCACTCACTCTCTTTTCAACACTTTGATTTTTATCATCCCAGCGTACAATGTTGCGCCTTGCAACTTGACAACACCCAAATTGTAATCCCCCAAAAAAATAAAAAAAATAAAAAAATAAAAAGACTTGCATATAAAGGAAAATTAAAGAATCACAACTGTGTGGTTGGTTGTTTGTAATGTTGTTTCTTGAAGCTGAATCTCTCTACAATAAAGATGGCACTGGTATCGGCTTTTAAGGTATGATAGCAACCTTGGTTGCCTTCTTTCAGGCTGAGGGTTCTTCATGATAAAATCCACATGAAGACTGTTGACCAACCAGTAAGTGCTAGAGCTGCAACCAGGTATGTCCAAAAGAAGAGGACTGAAGATTCTTCTTGACCAACATCAAACAACTGGGCCATGGTTCCTGAATTATACAACCAACAAGGTCAAGAAATCTGTACGTATGGAAAGAAAGTGATCATCCCTGTGAAAATATGGTGATAATAGACAGTACTTACCAATATTCATGGCAGGAGGCAAGGTAAACTGAATCATGAGCACATAACGGTACAAAGGATCTGAAGGTAAGAATCCTAGATTGCCAGCTGCTTTGATCACCCAAATACCAATAACAGGAAGTATAACATATCTAATGCAGACCACTCCAATGATGACCAGAGGTTTGACTGTCGATGATCGTATACCTGTTTGATTAAGAAAATATAAATGGAAAATAAGATTGTGTTTCCTTACATTGGCTAATTACAGGGGACAATTCAAGCTTTGTTTTACCTTGAACCAGGTTGCCTCCCAGTATGAGAGTTATGCAAGGAATGGTACCGTCTCTGCAGGTTACATTTCATTTTGTTGAATCATTAAGTGCATTCCAGGGTAAGAACTAATTATTATCAGCAGTAAACAGAAGAATTAGCATACCCTAGTAGCTTAATGGAGTCTTGGATCACCCGCAATGGAGCACCATTACCAATTATGAGGTTTTTCAGCCATGGTATCGCACCAACGATAAAACCTATAATCTGATGGTGTAAAGACAAGTCAGGAACTTGTTTACCAAGAGTTCTTGACTCTTCATAAACACATAAATTCAGGGGAGACAGGGAGAATACTCACTCCAGCAAGCGTTGGAGGTGCCATTAGCTCTTCTATAATCTGGTGAAGTATCTCTATTACTTTACTCCACCTTGAGACATTTCCATTTTCACTTTTGCTAGTGGATTCTTGGGATAAAATCTGAAATTACATAAATATGGAATAAGAAACAATGGTTGCCAGTCTTGACTCATTGATATATACTCAGTATGCTTTAAGTATGATGTTTATGCGAAGACAACTCACAGCTTGCTCTTCTAGATCTTCTATACACTTTGTTGAAGACACATTTATAGCAACATTTTTTTGATCCTCTTCTCCCTTGAGAAGGTGAGTTTCTGCATTGGAATCTAAATCCTTGTTAGGCTTTTTTGAAATTGTCTCAGCTGCTTCAAGTGCTTTCAGCTTCAAAGATGAAGTTCGTACTAGTTGGTAAGTGATGGTCCATATGTAGAAACCACCAAGCTGCATTGATCAAAGCAGAAATGAATATGTTACTTCTTTAAGAAGAAAAGCAGCAAACACCTAGAGGAAATGCCAGTAACATTGCATTACCGCCATGGAGAAAGATGCATATGAGACTCCAACCAGGCCACAAGTATTACGATCCCCAAATGGACTCCCATTCTCGTTACAAATTGCAGGAACAATTATAAGGAGAAGATTTCCCAAGTTCCCTAATTTAAAAGGCAATTAGTGACTAATTGTCCAATTCATTCAAAGAAATTTAAGTAGGAGCAGTACAAAGCCTGAAACTGCAAAATTCACCTGATGAACATGTAGCAATGATAATGCCTTCCAAGTGAGGCAGTGGTCTCAGTATCTTAACTAGTAACCATCCAAGAATGACGCCAAACAGAAATGTAAGCCCGATATTAACAGGCATAAACCACCTGAGAAAGACGATCAAGCAGATTATTCATTATGGTGGCATTTTTTTTTTCATATTAAAACACAGAATTCTGAATGCTGCTTGCAGTAAAGACAAATTAAATACCATGAGATGATTTCTTGAAGTGTGACAGTCTTAGCTAGACTTGCAAACATGAGTGACGGGGTAAACACGACAAACACAAGCTGTTGATTTGGAGAAATTTTTTTAGTTAATTACTCATTTTGATGGATTTGGAAGGAGAAGATTACTCTTCATTCTGAATTAATAATACCTCCCTTTTTCTTACCTTGTTCATTGATCTTCGGGTGTCTGTCGAGAGAAGCTTGCAGTAGTCAGTAGCCAGGAAAGCTCCCAACATACTTATTATCAAGACTTGCAAAATTGGCATTAAAGCCACTTCGAACAGTGTCCAGAAACCCATCCTTGCTTTGAGATAAAACGGACAGAAAATGTATTTGGTGCCGCCTTCTTCTCCCTGTTTGTTGATGAAGATGAATTACCCAACTTTAACCTTCAAAAATATACAAACACGTCAGGAAACACAGTAGGAAGAACCGTGGAAGGAGCAGGGGACAGGACAAGATAAGAAGAAATTACAAAGACGTTTTAAAACAAAGTCATAGCACAACCAACAAATATGAATGTGCACACAAAGGAAGTTGTCGTACATCTAAGTGCTACAAGTGGGAGCATTCAGTGGCATCAAACAGGACATTGGTGGAGAGCAGGAAAGACCCATGTAGGCACCACCACTTGTCGGCACTCAGATGGAGTGTCCAAACTCATCAAATAGTAGAGGGTGCAGGTCGATCATGCATGTTACCTTTGAATAGACTCAAAAGGCAGATGCCAGATGATAAAATAAAAAGCAAATTTTACCCTTACTCACGTTTGATTTATACATGTATAGATGAGGCAGTGTAAGGTATCAAAAATCTAGATTACACAATATGAACCATTAGATGTAAAGATGGGCTCTTCCGAATCTAATGGTAGGTGGCAAAATACTGGACTGATATTACTGCCTGGATGGTGAAATACAGATTCGATTAATCTTGCAAGCTAGGAAAGGTACAAAATGGAAAAAATGAAGGAAAAGAGAAAATTGAACAGGTCTGATTTGTGATTCAGCTAATCAGCTATCAACAACTAAAAAAGCCTAATATACCGAAAAAAGAAAGATGGAGAAAACTAGAAGATTATAAAGACATTGGACCCCAGGAGTATGAAATTTCAGCCACTTTGTAGAGGCAAAATGAATGAAGAAGAATGGCCACCAAATGATTACCAACATGAAAGCATGTATTTGGCAAAGAAGATGGAAAATTCCTCTACTTTGATCAAAGAATGACATGTGAGCATGACTATCCACTAGGCCACTTGGGAGTTTTTCACTCGTGTAATTAAGTTTTTGCCCTGTAAATTGGTGCATTACTCCTAGCCCAATTTTTTGAATTAATTTTGAAATGGGAAGAAAATTAATTTGAGAACACTTTAATAATAAATATAAAAAATAAAATAATTCCTCAATCCCCACCGAATGAGAGACTTTATGAAGCATCAAATCAAATCAACACCCCCCATCAAAATGGTTTTTTTCTTTTTTTCAATTGGATTTTGAGACGCAAGATACCACAATAAGAACAAAGTCAAAACCTTGCATGAGGAAAGGACCAAATAGGCCGGTCCTTTTCTTGTTTCATGATGATGCATTTTTGAGTTGAGAACAAGAAATTCGAAAATAGGAAAGAGGAATAATTTGATTATTCTATTCAGAGATTACCAGAAACAACTCCAAACCCATAAACATTAGACCGACATAAAGAAAGAATCTTTATCTTTCGCCTTCCAGCAGCCACTACCATGAAACAGACACAAGCCACCAACAAAATCCCATAAAAAACTCGACGACCCAGAAAAGAAAAAACCATAACCCATCAAAAAACTCGATGACCCAGATGAATTCAGAAGAACAGAGGAACACCCAATTCAGAAAACAGATCATACACAAACACATCAAATCGATTAACAACTGCGAAAGGGGAGAAAGTGCAAGCTAAAGCAAGAAGAAAACGAGACGGAGGGGGGACTAACCTTCAACAGAAATCCCTGGCGTGACAAAATTTAAAATGGAACACTTGAGTTTGGACTCCAAAATGGGAAGATTAATTGATGACGCCGAGACAAATGGCTATATTTCTGGGGTTAAAAACAAGCATGCAAAGAGCAAAAGAATAGGTGGTTTTTGGAGGGAATAAGAATGTTGATGAATTTGTTGGTTTAGGCAGAGTATGTAAATTGCAGATTTGGGGGCTATTTATGGAGAAATGACTAAAATTATGAGCAACTCACCTCCCCAAGAAGAAGATGGAATCAAATGTCTCGTAAAGGAGTTTGTATTCTAAGGGACGTGGATGTGATGATCGTAATGACATGTCAGTGAATCATTTATCATCATACCACGTGGAATTTTCAAACACACCCCACAGCTAATAATGTTATAGGAATAATTTTTTTGTTTTATTTTTTTATATAATTTTTATATATTATTAAATAAGTAAATACATTTAATATTATGAATTTGATATTAATTAAAAAAATTAATTATTTTAATAATATGTTAGATTGTATAAAAAAATAAAATAAAAAAATTATACAAAAACTATATCTAATAATTTATATGACATGTTAATGAATCATTTATCATCATCCCACGTGGAATTTTCAAACTCACCCCACAGCCAATAATTTATCAACGACTTTCTTTACTTTTCACAATAAACCAAACCAAAAATGAATTAAAGGTACATTATAGCGGCTCAAATTGTACTTATTATAAAATAGAAAAACTTTAAATGAAGGGATATATTTTGATATTGGGTTTTAATAATAAGTGTTATATAATTTATATTATATTAAATTTTACAATATAAATTATTAAATAAAAAATAGAATCCTCAATATATCAATTATCAAGAGGTATTAAAATTCACTTTATTTAATAGTTATAATTGTATATTTTAATATTTTTAATACGAAAGTTATCTTGATTTTTTTTCTCTAATTAACGAAAATAAAAATAAGAAATCAAATAAAGAATGCTGGTAAAGAAACACAAA